AACCTTGTTTCTTCAGGGTCAACGAAAATCTCAGATTACAAAGTCACGCCGAACTCACGCTTTGCAAAAAAATCTCTTCAAAACCCTGACTTCGGAGCGATATATCACTTTAGCGTTAATAGCTACCTCATATCGGCAGTAGTAAAATCTATTCCTTAACAATCCAGCTTCATCATCTTAAAATTTCAACGAAATCGAACAAAACCAGAACTAGATATAATAAGATTTTTTTTTTGTCACCCGCGTCATTGCTTGAGTCAACAAAAGAAGCGACGGTCGCCCATAGCCACCGAAACACACGAACATAACACGAACCGACCTTTCGGTCAAAAAAAATCCAGGATTATTGCCTGAGAACTGAAAACCGAAGAGGAACATCATTTTCGAACTTTTCCCAGGTTATTTAGACGAAAAAATGACCTCAGCGGGCTCCAAAAGAGAATGAAACAAAAAACAGAACGAGACAGTGAGAAGAGCCGATAATTTATTCAATTTGTTTACCGCATGGCCCTCGTTACGTTCAGGTTAAAAAAAGCTTACTTCTGGATAATTTCAGCCTTACAAGCCAGCAACTGGTACCAAATTACTTTCTGTATCCTTAAAAATGTCCTAACTTCCATCTCCGAAAGATTTGGCCGCAATTTTTGAGCAAATAAACATTTTGCTGATGGCAATCACCAATACGGTGGCTTGCATACTAATTTGCTAACTTTACAAAACCCTCCCAAGGGGGGGATATGACGAAAAGGGCTGAAAAATGATGGCTGGAAATAGTGTAATTTTCTCAGCTTCTGGTGTGCCAAATTTGCTGGAAATATAAATAGGTTTTTTTTCATTTTTTTTTCTTCGGTTCACTCATGATCCCATATAACCTGCAATCAGGTTTTTTTTTTTTTTTGGAAAGAAGAGGGACTGCTTTGGAATGTGCACTGCATTGCGACTGTAGTGCTAAGAAAACAGTTAAATTTTAAAAGTGCGGTTATAAGATCCAACAGATCTTCTTGCTTATTTACAGCCAGGTCCTTGTTTTCCAAAATTAATGTCCATGGATACATGGGGATGTAACATTTTTATTTGTTTTTGTTTCAGATAACCATGGTAGGTGTTCTTTGAAGCAGTTCAGTCTGTGAAGGTTCTCCTCCTGGATAAGTGACTTTCTTGGCCAAGGCAGGGGTGGGATGAAAAATGCTAGCTGAAGTATTTGAGCAGTTCTTGGCTAATACAATTATGAATTATTATCTTATACTGACACTGTATGTATACACCATACAACATTATAATTTTACTGTGCAGCTGGATGAGGAGAAATAAACCAAAAGTAATTATCAAAATTAATGGGTATTATATAACTGTCATCTTTGGGTTACCACCAAATTCTCAACTGATGCAGGGCTGTCATTAAGGGCTGTAACCCGTAACACCCGTTGCAGCTGAGTATGCTTGATTTTCCATTGGTGCTACGGGTGAAATTGCCTGTTGTTGATAGAATTCAACCACAAAGTAACAAGTTTGCTACAAGTATGGAGAACAAGGCTACAGGTGGCTCAAAACTTAATGACAGCCCCATGATGTACGTGTACATGTAAAAGGAATTGTAACTTACAATAAATGGTAGATTTCATTATTTTATGTGTTGAACACACAGGGTGGCATCCACTCGTGAAATTATTCTGGTTTCTGCAGAAACATGCCACATGCAAATTGTACATGTATTACCATATACATGTATTGCTACATCCCTTAATCAAAAACTTCAGACAGTGTTTTACCACATTTCTAAACACTGAGAAGAGGTTAGTTGATATATGATACAAAGCAGAGAAAACAAAGAAATTATTGAACGTCAAAAAATGTATGCTAACTGACTTCTGAATGTTATACAAACACTATCCCAGTTGTGATTTCCTTTGTTTAAACTTGATGAAGTTTATTGAGGAGTTTGAGAACAAATAATTTTAGGCTCTTTAACTCTGCTATTTTCCACTATCAGGAATGGTGGACACATTTGTGGCTAAATGAGGGCTTTGCATCATGGATAGAGTATCTGTGTGTAGATCACTGTTTTCCAGAGTGGGATATCTGGACACAGTTTGTCACGACTGATTTCTCCAGAGCTATGCAACTAGATGCCCTTACGAACAGGTAGGTTGGTACATGTACATCGCTTTTAATTAGGACAATCTTAGAGAGATGAAACCTTGCAAGGAACTGAAAGCAGTCTCTGTGTTCTGGATTTAGCATTCCAATAATTGGAATGCTAAATGAGTTCCAATCTATTGGTTAATTTTGCAAAATCTTATATCTCATTTCCTTACTCTTTTTTTGTTTCATGTTCACTTTCAAGTCACCCAATTGAGGTAGGTGATACAATACTGGCCTGGTGGTAATTTTTATATGATTAAAATGTTTTCAGATGTTTTCAGATTGTTTGTTTTCATAGCTTAACCATAATTAAAATAATGAAAAAAAATTCAACAAGGGGGAGTATACATGTATAACTTATTTGTCTATTGCACAAGTTACACGTAATTCCGAGAGAATAAATTGTGACATAATATGTGACTGCACTGCAGACAAACCACTGATGCACCTTACAAGTTACATGTAATAGGGTTGCTGACATGTCGATGTAGTACACAAGTCACATGTCAGTTACCCAACTTTATTGTCTGTCAACTGACTGTCATCTGACATGTTGGCCAATCTATTGATCGATTTGGTCAGGATTGGTCGCAATTACATGTACCCTACCAGGAACAAGACCAGGGGCAGTTCTAGGGAAAGGGTGGAGGGGGTTTTTACTCACCTCCTCCCCCTGAGATGTAGCCTTCATCTTTGTATTCACTTTTAAAATTTGTTTACTTCAGCAGTCAGTTACCCCATTCCTTAGTGGTCCACCCCTCCTAAGAAAAATCCTGGATCTGCCCCTGAAGACCCAAACCAATATTAACATACACACCTGTTATACATGTGCATGTACACCTGTACTATACTTTACTTACAAGGCAAGTGCTCTGATCTTCCTTGTTTTGTGTTTAATTAGGTCCCTGTTGGACATCCTGGTGAGATTGATGAGATTTTTGATGCAATCTCATACAGCAAAGGAGCATCTGTCATTCGAATGCTCCATGATTATGTCGGTGAAAAGGTTTGAGCCAAACTTTGATTAATGTGCCTGTACATGTATCGGTGAGCTACAGCCTTGGTCACAAGAGTTGGAAAAATTCATTTTATATGCATTTTGCCCCTCCCCACCTCTGTGCAATGGTGACAAAACACTTTCATTTTCATTTTACTATTTTCCAACATTGAAAGGGGGAATGGGGGTGCTGGCACTTATTCTGTAGGTAGTATGGTTATGAGTTTATGTTTTTGGCATTTTCCAAGACAATTTGTCCATGGTTGTAGCTACATTACAGCTTTAATTAAGCACGCATTCCAGCTGGAGACTGGTGCCCAGTTTGAAGCCGCAGATCTATCGTAAAACATTTAACACATGTCTAGTGTACATGTTGTGGTTTTGGCTCAGAAGATGTACGTTTTGGGATTTTTTTTAACAGTTGTGTTTTTAGCAGTTTTTATTCTTCCCCGATAATAATGATTCTTGAAATATTGCAGTTGAAACTGAAAAAGGATCACGTTATTGTCATGCATGTCACATTCAAAATAATAATAATAATAATAATAATAATAATAATAATAATAATAATAATAATAATAATAATAATAATA